CAGACATAGTTTGAACTTGCTCATCTTGCGTGATAATCACATAAACTCTATTGATCCCAGGAAGGGTTCCTGAGAAGTATATTGAAGCGTGTCATGCCGTAGAACGATCCATCGAGTCCCATGATAAATTGTTGTACTTTCTCTTCTCAATGTTCTTTTTCCCACTCAAATTCTAGTCGACAATTGCATAACCCACACTTCCATTGCGGGATCTTCTGAAATTGACGAAGCTCATCCCATAATTTCTTCAATTTCCCAAAATAAGTCACAATGCTCAAACTCTTTTACCTTGTATTTACACGTTCATACCATAATTGTTGGATCCGAGGTCCACTAATTTGAAAAAACCTATCTCGAATATCTTTCCGAAGGTCGCTTGCAACCCCAACATTAGATATACTCAAGCGTAATTTCTCCTTGATGATGTTCATCATCCATGCCACAATAAGGGAGTTTCAAGTCTACCGATCTTCAAGATATCAGGAATCATCATTAGGTTGAGGACTTGCTCCATCGACAAATTCAAATATTTTTTCAGTGCCCGAAGTGCTCTACGAAGAGCTCGAGATCATTCTTCATAATTATCTCTTCTCAAGACAATATTATTATCACAAGATTGAGATCAAATGGGGATATCTTTTTTTTGCGTTGAACGCCACTTGCCGTCTTTTCTCCTTTGTCACTCATGATGAATAAACGATTAAAGGATAATGTGTTGATACTATAATAAGACTCAGCTAAGGAATGATGTTAGATCTTGTTGTTCCTTGTTCTTATTCATCACATGTGTATAGAAGTTTATACACAAAGAAAAAGTAACACTAAAATCTCTCTCTAAAACTTTTTCTACTTAAAACACAAAAAACACAAAGATATTTCTTTCAAAATTTCTCTTTACCCAAAATATATATACATATCTTAATAATTATGTAGGTTTTTGATTGAACTCGAAAATAAAAAAAAAATAACGATATTTTAACATTAAAATGAAATAGGTAAAAATAAAATAAAAGAATTATAAAAAAATTATTAAAAATTTAATAAAAAATAGTGTGATAAATTTTAAAATAAAAATAAAAATTTATTATTATTTGTTCAAATAAAAATAATAAAATTATAAAATTATAAACGAATACAATTAATTACAATAAGTAAACTGTGTATAAATATAAAGGACTATGGAAAAAAAAAAAAAAAAGAAGAGAGAGACTAATGATAAGATGAGAGTATATATATTATAGTGTGTATTGAGGAGTGAATTGCGGGGTGCAGCGGCAGGCGTAGCATGCATGCATGTACTTGGCGAATTAAAATGAAGAGAAACTGTTGAATAAATAAATAGAATTAATGGTCCCAGGCCATTTGTGTGAAAGACAGACACATTCACGTGCCGATGCTTCCAACTTTCCTTCCCTTCAATCTTTCAGATAAAATATCAATTCATTCATGTCATTTCATCACAGTATCTTTCCATGGCATTGGATTCCAGTTGAAACATATATACATCCAACCAAGGAAAATTAATGACCTATATATATAAAAAAGAAATTATGAAAAATAAAGATATTAAAATTGTTAGAAATTTTGGAGGAAAATAATGAAATTGTCTTATTGATCATCAAAATAAGGAGCCTATATATAGGCAATACAAAACATACTCGATAATTCTAAGTAATCTAATTTATGGATAAGATCAAATCTAGAATATACTAAATCTAAAACTGAATATCTAAAATATCTCAACATCCCCTCAAACTCAAGTGGTATAACACAAAAAAAAACATAAATAAAATTAGCAGTTGACTCTCCAACCACCGGAGAAAAAAACGAGATGACTCTTCACCGGAGTCGAAAACGAGATGACTGACTCTCCACCGGAGTCGAAAACGAGATGACTCCACCGGAGCCGAAAACGATATGACTCCATCGGAGCCGAACACGAGATGACTCTCCATCGGAGCCGAACACGAGATGACTCTCCATCGGAGCCGAAAATGAGATGACTTCACGAAAACGAGATGACTCTCCACATGAGCAAAAAATGAGATGACTCCACCGAAGCCTAAAACGACATGACTCCACCGGAGCCGAAAACGACACGACTCCACCGGAGCCAAAAATGAGATGATTCCATTGGAGCCAAAAAACAAGATGACATTCCACCGGAGCCGAAAATGAGATGACTCCACCGGAGCCGAAAAACGATACGACGCTCTACCGGAGCCGAAAATAAGATGACTCTCCACCAGAGTCGAAAACCATATGACCACCGGAGCCGAAAACAGACAAATCGCAAACATCGGACAGATCAAATCGCACGTAGGCAAAAGACAAACAGCGGACAGATGTCAGATCATAGACAGATTTCCGGCAATAAATAAGCAACCAAAGATGACAGATCACACGCAGGCAACAGACAGACAACGACAGATGGCAGATCGCACGTAGCAACAGACAGACAACGACGATGGCAGATCACACCCAGCAACAGACAGACAACGGACATATGACAGATCGTTTCAAATCGCTCGCAGGCAACAGACAAGCAGCGCAGATTTCAGATTGCACACAGGCAACAGACAAACAACGGACAGATCGGAGACGAGACAAATTTGCAAAAAGACAACTTGCAAAGGCATAATGTCAAAATCACAAGACCTCCGGGTACAATTCAGGTTGAATGTACCCGAAAAAATACGAATTAATAGACTATATTTACGACATGAGGAAAATAGGCTCGAATATATAAAAATCCATATACAACACAGTCATATTGTAACATTCCCATTCAAATTCAATTTACATAGAATTTTGTTGGATAAGTGCACTCTCAGGCCGAATACTCTTTAAATTTAATTCTCATAATGAAGTGGATTTTATTTGTAGATCAAATTAAAATAAATAAAGTTGGATATCTCCCAAACAAATTAAAGCTTCTGATCGAGACTCCCGTTTACGAATATATGATTAATTATTGCGTTTTCCTAACAGTTTGAACTTTTAAGTAAGACGGTCATTCAACATTCGATATAGTACCAGGACCTAGGCTTCCAAAACGTACGTGCATTCTTCCATAAATTCTCAAAAACACATTTGTTTTAAAAAAATAAAATTAATATATTATACACATTCGTTATTTTCATAACATTTACACAATATTATATATTTTTACATAATTTATTTTTTCAAATAATTTTACTAAACAAATACACGTAAATTTCACAATATCTTATTGTAGCCAACTCATTATATTTGTCACTTATTAATTAATTTCACCACATATAAATTAAATTATTGATAACCAATTGAATATTAACAATTATTCGGTAAATGATTTTCTACTTAATTTTATTACTTCAATTTTTATTTCTTTAAAAAAATATTAAATCAAACATTCATTTTTTATTTATTATATTCTTCTCGTAAAAATTTTCTGTGGCATGGATTAAACTCGTCATAATATGAATTGATGGATTCAAACTTTGGATATTTTTAAATCTTACATACTACATATAGTTATCTGACTTTAGAGTTCTCACATCATAAAATATTCTATCCGTCTTTTTGGGAATTGGTTGGAATGTGTTCCTATCTAAACTTTTTTGTCTATGTTACTGTAAATACCAAGATTCAGGTAAAATGTAATTATTAAATAATTAAGAAATATAATAATAAAATAATTATAAATTGATATTAAAATAATTAAATAATTTAATTAAAATTAAAAAAATATAAATTATAAAATTTAAAGTATACTTAAAATATATAATTATATTTTTGAAAAAAAAACTATATAGAACATATTGAAATAAAACAAATATGAACGGCACATGGAAGTAGAGTTTGTTTCTTTTGATAAGTTTGAAAACATTTTGGTTTGAATTTGATATTAAAATAATATTATATTTTCTTTATCTTATATCTATATATCTATTTACTTTTTGCATGGAGTTTTAGAAATATTAGTATTATAATGAGATATAGTAGAAATAAAGGTAAAAAGACTAAATTAACTCTATTGGTATTGTATGATATAAAAGTAATGACATTTGTGTAATATATTGTAAATTAGAATGGTATTTGTAATGATGAATACTTTGTTATGGTACGGACCAAAATGAAAAAATAGATAAATTATTAAGAGACAGAAGAAGTATATGATAAAAAGTTTTACGAGACAAACATATTTTTTTCAAAAATATAAAATTCAAATAATAAAAATTTAAAATTAAAAAAAAAAACGCATACACACAAATCCGTAATTATAATACTATTATAAGTTATATATAATCATATAAAATAATAATAACAATAATAAATATATGTATATATTACTCTCTTCGTCCCACGTAATTTGTCTCTATTTTTTATTTTCGCTTGTACCGCATAATTTGTCATTTCTTTGTTTAGAAAATTAATTATACACTTTAATCATATTTTAAAATTTAAAATTTAAATTCTTTTTAATCTTAATTAAACTATTTAGTTATTTTAATTTTAATTTATAATTATTTTTACTAATATATTTTTTAATTATTTACTAATTATATTTTAATTATTTTAATATATTTTAATTTTAATTTAAATTTTTGTATGTACAGTAATGTATCCATATTACCAGTGACAGAGGGATTATATAACATATATTGGGTTTTATCATAATTCACCATGTCTGGTATGGCTGTGTATGTGTTGTTTCATTATCATCGTCATCGTCTTCTGCTGCTGCTGCGCGCCCCACCCCACCCCACCCCACGTGCACTCATACACAGAACCTAGGAGCTGCTGCTACTCTCTCTCTCTCTCTCTCTCTTGCTACTACCAGACAGACAAACACTTCTCTTGTTTCTTTCAGCATTAATTATTACTCAACTGCTAGCTAGCTAGCTAGCACCAGTACGGCTCATCTATACATTCATATATATATATATGTCTATACACATTTGTGTTTATTTTCTCATAATAAATTTAATTAATTAATTGCATGAAATGTATTTGTTGGATCGAGCTAGCTACGGTGGGTTTTGGTTGCAAATTAATTAATTAGTCGTACATATATATATAAATATTTTGAGAGATATGGAATATAACAGAAACACGGCATCACCGCAAAACCCTAACCCTAACCCTAACCATAACCATATCATCTTCTTCTTCAATATCTCTTCGTCTTCTAAACCATTATATGTTTTTATGAATAATGTTTGGTGATCATCACCACTACTTTCCCCAATTCTGTAATTATATTAATAATAATAACTATAACATTGCTGCTGCTGATTCTAGAGCACCACCACCACCACCACCACCACCATCGTCATCGCCGCCGCTAATTCCTGCAGCTATTTCTGTTCCTCCGTCATTCTCTTCATTCTCCGGCGGCGGCGGCGGCCATGGATTCGATCATCATCCTCCATCGGAACTGGTTCTCCTACACAACCAACACCATATTATGACAAATGTCGTCGGTGGGAAGAACAAGATCGATTTGATTAATAGCTCCTCCTCCGACAGTGCTGATGCAGGTTTGGGTCATCATCTTCTTCTTCATCAAGATCAGCTGGACAGATCTGTCCCTAATTGGTCTAATGATGAGCTTCTTGCCTTGTTCAAACTCAGATCTACTCATTGGGGACATGTTTCCAGGTCCAACTTCAATTCCACCTTCCCTAATTTAATTGTAGCATTAATTTCCATTCTTTTCGTTCTTTCTAATTTTGATTAAATTAAATTAAACTCGTTGTTGTGTTGGTTTGCTTCTGACACAAACAAAGACCGATCCTTTTTACAATTTCAGATTAAAAACAGATCATTCGATCCGTAACAGACTTACACTTTTCTTGTTGCTTTACTAGCTTAAATAAAGAAAAGAAAAAACGAATCTTTAACTTGTTATTTCTTCGAGGAAGCCATTTTTATATATCTTGAACAGTAATTTACAGAATTTGATGAGATCCAATTATTCTTTTATATATATGTATATTATCCGTTAACAATTTGAATTTATTTGTCAAACAGAAAACTGGAGGAGATGGGATTCAAACGAAGCGCAAACGAGTGTAAACAAAAACTCGAAGAAGGTAAGCATTTCGACGGCGCTGCAATAAGCTACAACGAACTCGATGAATTTTACGGACACGATGCTGCTGCTCGGGTTTCCGATCACGAAACACGGCCGTGTCGAGACAACACGGGAAAGACCACAGACGCTGCTGCTCGTGTTTCGGATCATGAAACACGGCCGTGTCGAGACAACACGGGAAAGACCACAGATGCTGCTGCTCGTGTTTCGGATCATGAAACACGGCCGTGTCGAGACAACACGGGAAAGACCACGGATGATGCAGGGAGGCGAGAGAGAAAAAAGAAAAAGAAAAAGAAAAGGAAAAGAGACGACGGCGACGGCGACGGCGGAGGAAAGAAGATGGAAAGGCTGCGCCGCTGCTTGGAGGCGGTAGTGGACAAGGTAATGGCGCAGCAGGAGGCTTTCCACGAGAAGCTGATCGAGGCCATCGTGAAAAGGGACGAGGAGACGGCGGCGAGGGAAGAGGCGTGGAAGGCCCACGAGATGAATCGGAGCAAAATCGAGATCGAAACACGGGCTAAGGATCAAGCCACCGCCGAGGAAAGACACGCCGCCATCATCGGATTCCTCGAGAAGTTCACTCACAAATCTCAATTTCATCATCAAATCATCCCAAACAGTAGCACTAATTACAGTACCGATCATGACGAGCCGCCGCCGCCGCCGCCGCAAGAGGGCGGGAAGCGGTGGCCGAGGGAGGAGGTCCTGGCCCTGATAAACCAGAGGTGCAATAAATACGAGAGTGGAGGGCAGAGAGGTCCTTTGCCTCTGTGGGAGAGAGTGTCGAAGGGGATGATGGAGATGGGCTACAGAAGGAGTGCCAAGAGGTGTAAGGAGAAGTGGGAGAACATAAACAAGTACTTCAGGAAGACCAGAGATAATAGAGATGGTACCGGGAAGAAGCGGTCCCTCCACTCCCGGACCTGCCCCTACTTTCACCGTTTGACCTGCTTGTACACTGGACTTCAACCCCAACCCGAACTAGAACTACAAGAACCACAGCAATAGGTAGACCTGGTCCTGGACCTCTGGAAGAGATTAGAGATCTTCACCTAATAATAACAATAATAATAGTAATAAATTGTTGCCTATGTGGAGGTGGAGAGGGTAGTTTTGTAATTTCACGAAGAACAAGATGGATGACGACGGCGTCGGAGACTGGCGTTGTTTCTACGTCCTTTTAATTTTGCATTGATTGCATCGCCATGGATTAATTAGGAACATTTTTATTTATTTATTGCTGAAATTAATTGATGTTAAGTAACACTCACTCCGTTGCAGATAATTTTTTTTATTTATTTCAAATTTACTGTAATATTTTAAAATTTAGAAATAATTTATAATATTTATACACAGCAAAAAATTCTCATGTGGTTTACCAAATTTGCTAAAAACCCCTCGTAGTTCTAAAATTTCAAAAAACTTACTCGTGGTTTGTAAAACGTTGCACACTCGCCCCCCTCTAAATCACACTGACGCCGTTAAATTTTAGCCTTATAAGACCGTTATACCCCTTTCTTTATTTTTTACTTTATGTTTTTATTTTCTCAAGGCATTTTCCATTGTTCCCCAAAATCGTTCTCTCACCGTCAGTCGCATGATCAAGAAACCCACCACCAGAGGGACGCCGTCGTTGCCCCGCCTCCACCCCCCATTTCACGCTGTCTTTTCGCTCATCCTTCATCCTTTCATACACTGTCGTTACCCTTCCCCACCGACACTACAGTCGCCATCCCCCGTCTGCCCCACCCCCAAGCTTTCTAGGGTTTACTTGCGATTTTTTAATTTGGTAAAATTTCTCAAATCTCTCCTCTTGGCCCGTGAGTAGGAACGTTCGTGCATTTCAAAAATCAATTTTCTAGTTTTATTTTGGGTTGAAAGTGAACTTTACGTCGGACACAGAGATGTGTATATTATTAAAAATTTTGTGGTCAAGTTACTTTATTTCCTCTTTTGCTGTGTATTTTGTCGTGTCTCTGGAATAAATTTAGTAATTTCGTAGAAAGTTAGATTTTGTTGGTGGTAAGATTCAGTGTGTTGTCCTGCAGATTGCACGTTCTTGAGGTTGTTGTGGTCCCCGGCATAATGGACTTGTTTGTGACAATTTATATGTGGGTGGATGGGTATACCGAGTATGAGGGCCCCGCGAAGCGATACAGGGGTGGCAGATGTGTTTGTTTCCCCCATATCGGTAAGGATAAGTTCTATTTTGATGAGATCTTCAACATGTACTGTCGTGCAGGAGGTAGGGTAGGTGTTGTGGAGTTCATATATCGGAGCCCCGATAGTCCCCACGGTGCAAATCTGAAGGGTCCAGTGTATCCTATTAAGAGCGATGAAGATGTTATGAATATGTTTCAAAATTCACTACGGCAAAAATATAATTTCTATATATGGCGAGGATAAAGCTTTGCCGATGCGCATATGTGATGCCTATGGACATGACATACGGAGGCCTAACGAAGGTTTGTTGCTTGAATGGCGTCGTGGAATGGAGGAAAGTAGCACTCTGAGGAATTACGTTTTTGAGGATGATAAGGGTGTCGAGGACGATGGGGGTGATGACGCTCATGAGGGTGAAAACGTTCATGAGGAAAGAGTAACAGATGATGTGTGCAAGAATACAAGAATAAAGGTTTTCAAAGCTACGAATTTGAGGAGTTAACAGGTGGATTTGATCCGTAGGATGAGGAAAGATTTCGAAAAGGGAAAGGCATTGCAACTCTAGACTCGGAAGGGGAAAGCGAGGGGGACGATGAGGACAATGATGAAGAAGATGACTCACAAGGGAATTTCGAGTACATAGGTGTTGACGAACCCGTGTGGACCGATTACACGGAGGGAATGGACAGTCGTGGTTGGTATGAGGCTCAATCGCATGCAGGTAAACCTCCTAGATGTTTTCTTTTCACATATGGATTTGCATTGAATACATTGCTTGTGTTATGTTTCATTGTGTAGATGCAAGCGATGACGATGATGATGATGATGCTGATGACGATGGCGGTGATGGTGATGATGACGATGATGATGACCGTGATCGTAACGATGACGATGATGAAGACAATGACAATGACAATGATGATGATAAAGACGATGACGATGACAATATAGATGCCGACGAATATTGAGAGGAGTTGCGGATTTATCGGGAGAGTCAACGAGAGAAAACCCATGAAGAAAGTTCTGATGGTAAGGATCAAATCTCTGATAGCGAAGAGTGGGACAGCAAGGATCGGAAGGCAAAATTCACTCAGACACTTCCCTCACGGATGAGGGAGCAGCAGAACCTGGCGGGGGTGATGTACCAATGGATGAACCGCACTTGGCGGGTGAAACTGAGGCGACTAGAGAATTGGATCATGGGACGGGGGTTAAACCGACCACAGATGGGTGGATTAGTGATGAATTGAGCGAGGAGGACAGGTTACTGCGTAGTCCGGCAGATTCTAACGACACCCGGGGGCCGGCGTACGAGGAATGGGATGATGAAATGGATGAATCCGACTGTGAATCGAAAGTGGGGATGAAATTTGTGAACCGATTGAAATATAAGCAAGCCCTCCGTGACTGGGCTGTACGGAGGGGGTGGAATATAAACCTCATAAAGAATGAAAAAAAGAAGGTTACACCCGTATGCAAGAAGGGTTGTGATTGGAGGATTCACGCGTCATCCATCATGGGTGGAGACACCTTCCAGATCAAAACCCTGAAGGGAACCCATCAGTGTTCACACCAGTCGACCAATGCGCAAGCAAACTACAAGTACCTTGGAAGGAGGATAAAAGATATGGTAGCAGATAATCCGGACATATCTATACTTGCATTGAAGAAGAAAATTCGGAGGGAGGTGCGTGTTGAGGTGACTATGTACAAAGTTTACCGGGCGAAGCAACATGCTTTGGAATTGATCAAGGGTAGCACATTAGAACAATACAAACACCTTTACGATTATTGCGTGACAGTGTGCAAATTCAATCCGAGCAGCAGCTGTATTTTGTCCGTTGATTGGGGGGTTAGTCCGCCGGTGCTCAAGCGAATGTACTATTGTTTGGCAGCTTTGAGGGAGGGATGTAAAGCAGGCTGCCGCACTATTATAGGGCTTGACGGATGCTTCCTTAGGGGGATTTATAAGGGGCAGCTTCTGACGGCAGTAGGGAGAGATCCCAATGAAAATATCTACCCCATCGCCTTTGCATTTGTCGAGATTGAAAAGTATGAGACGTGGGATTCGTTCTTGGAGCGTTTGCTAAGGGATTTGGGTGATTCTAGAACCGGAGAATGGTTCTTTATATCCGATCGTCAGAAAGGATTGGTGGAGACGATTGCAGAACGAGCGCCGGGAGCAGAACATCGTTTCTGTTTGCGTCATATGTACAACAGCTTCAAAGTGTGGTTTAAGGGATTGAAATTGAAGCGTCTTTTCTGGAAGGCAGTGTCCACATTTAATCTGAGGAGCATGAGAAAGTGATGCGACAGATTAGGAGGTACGATGCAGCAACCGGGACCGGAGAAGCTGCGTATGCATGGTTGAGTGAGATCCCACAGTAGCACTGGGCACGGGCCTTTTTTCGGGTACAAACAAAGAGCGACGTACTCATGAACAACATGTGTGAGTCCTTTAATCGGTACATTTTGGAGGCACGGGACCTACCTATAATTGACATGTTTGAGTGGATACGACGAAGGTTGATGGTTCGAATTCAAATGAAATTGGCGGGGATTGAAAAATTTGAAGGAATTGTGTGCCCTATCGTCATGAAAAAGGTAGAGCTGGTACGGAAGGCTAGTCGCAACTGTTTTCCATCATTGGGCGGCGACAACAAGTACGAAGTTACGCACTTCACACAGAACCATGTTTTCGTGTTGAACCAGCATATGTGCACCTGCGGCATGTTCCAAATTAGCGGATATCCTTGCTGCCATGGAGTGGTCGTGATCGAGTACCAGCGACTTGCGGTGGAAAATTCATAGATGTCTGCTTCAAAAAAGAAACGTACATGGCAGTATACACCCATGCGATAAACCCCGTCCCTGGAATACATGAGTATGAAGAATCCATGCTTGGGGAGGTGGCGCCCCCGGTCGTGAAGGTTCGCACTGGGCGTCCAAAAAAGGCTCGTCGGCGCGACGGTAATGATGAGAGGCAGGATGGTAAAGCATCTCGACATGGATTGACGACTACTTGTTCCAAATACCATCAACAAGGGCACAACAGACGGAGTTGCAAAAATGATCCGCCGCTCCATAAGGTGGTTCTTGAACTTATGAAGTGCTCTTTATTTTTCTGTTTATGTTGTATTTGTTCTTACCCGAAAGTGTGTTCTTGTAGAATACGTCAACGAAAGATCCCATCAATCGGCCGGACAGTCATTGCTCCCAATCCGAACAGGTACCCATCACATTTCTTAGGCTACACAACTGTTTCTGGGATACATTTATTTGCCAAAAAATAAAATTTGATTTCGCTGCTACTTGGATGACTTGGTAGGTTGCCTCTAATGTACATCCGTCACCGGACTACGCGTCAGCAACGCAGTCGTCTCAGGTGCAATCGTCGGGTCCATCGGGGACGACAGACGGAAGTGGGGGGAGTCGACGTGCATCGTTGTCATCGCTGCTCCGAAGTGTTCGGTCTTCACTCAGGCCAGGACGTCGGGGGCCTTCAGGTGGTGCATTTTCCCGGGGTCATTAGTGAGATTCTATCGATGTCTGTTTTTTATGCGTGCACGGGTACCCGGAGTAGTTTGTTATCATTTGTGTTTGTTAGTATACAACCAATTAGCATTGGACAAAGTTATGCAAATTACCCCGATATTTTGTGAATCGGATCGGGGATATTATGTGGATTGCTGTTGTCGGCATTTTGTGAATCGGATCGGGAAAATTATGTGGATTGCTGCTGTATTTGCTATCAGGGGCGGATGTATGTGGGGGCAAAAAATTTTTAATTTTTAATTTTTAATTTTTATTTTATAATATATAATATAAAAAATAATAAATAAATTAAAAAATTGCAAAAAACTGATAGAATATTTATGTGAAAATTTAAATTTTGAATAATAAAAAAATTTATATCATAATAATTTTTTGATAATATAAATATAGATATGAACAAAAAAGTAATAAATAATAATTAAAAAAAATCTTCAAAAATTTATCAACCAAATACACAGAAAATGATATTTTTAACAGCTTTTTTTTTTAATAAATGTATTTATTATTTATCAATTTCATATAATAAAAAATTCATCTTGTAATATGCAGTTGTCAATGTAGATTGATATTTTGCAAGATTTTCGAAATATGATAACGCCATTGATAAAATTATTGGATAACAAATAGATGATAATCGTTTCAAAATTTTAAAAACTACCCCCCCTTTCATCCTGGTCTGGTTTCGCCTCTGTTTGTTGTTGTATTTTATGTATATTACCGTTTGGATATTTTGCTTTGTGCCTAAGTTGTTGGAAGTATTGTAAAATTGCAATGTTTTTTAGGGAATGAATACTATGCCATGTATGTTGAAGTGTTTGCTAGAGAATTAATTTGATGGAGTTTTGTTATGGCTAAGTGATTGGCACACACATTGCGACATGTAAAAATAAGAACGACACGGTATGCTGTCTACACGGACCATTACGGTGCATTGTATTACAAATCAGGAAGACACGTTACAGCTACTACCACAACTTCATCACCCCTGCTGTTACTACGACGCCCGTACATTACACCCATCTACCGCTACACTAAAATCTACCATGCTACTACGACAATAAACAAACCAATACCACGATGAGCTCAAGACATACCAACTTCTTAGAAAAAGACTTTCGATATGGTAATCACTGTAACGGCAACCATGAGAAGCTTCACATACGTCAGTCTTGTTCGGAAGGCTCTTATTTCAGAACCTAGTTCTTCCACAACCACCTTCAGTTTAGACATTTCATTTGCAACCCCCTTTGTTTCTTTGAATAGCTCACCGTCAAATGCAACAGATTGAACCTCTGAGTCATTCACATCATCCCCATCATTGCTCCACTCTCCAACACAAGTGCTCACAGGATCAAGCCAACGGAAAAAATCACAGGCTCCAACTCGGCAATTGCAAAATAATTTTCCTTGAGCTTCCTTTGTTGGACCGACGACACGAATTGCCGCAAAAGTCCCACACTTGCATCGTGGGCATCCATACCTAAGGTCAAGATCTCCCCGGCCCCTGGACTTTGATTTTGAGTTGCTAAATGACATCACTGGAAAATGATTGCAAAACTCTCAAAGACAGAAGATTTTATGCTTGCAAGTAAATTCATATATGAGTCATACGGACTCACTCCCTATCGTTGCAAATTACTAGAATAATTATAAATTATAGAATCAAGATTTCGGCCCTAAAAAAAAAAAAATTCACTTCAAGCCAAACAGAATAATGTAAGAAGTTAGGGTTTAACAAATTGTAGGGTTTCAAATAATTCTAACCAAAACAACGATTCAGAATTGCTAGTAACACCAAATATTAAAATAGAAACAAATTACCAGAATCCATTTCCCCAAGTAGACACCCGTTTTCTGAAAAAAATCAAGAGACCCAAACCCGACAACGATAACACAAAACTTGTATTCGATAAACATTCTCACCAAAATTGCAGTCTCCCGACAGAAAACGCATTGCTATAGCACAATCTAAACGTGACGGGCAAAATCGTACTACGACAAAAAAACATCCAAAAACGGAACTGCTGGCGCACCTAAAAAACCCCCAAAATACACCTAAATTCAACTATTTTTACATATGGGCAGACCTGAAGTTTCTTGAAACGAACCGCCGGCGCCGGAAGAGTGGAGGCCGCTGCAGTAGGTGATGGAAAACAATGAACAATCTTTCGAGGAAGAAGAAACAACGCGAATGAGAGAAAGGTGAATAAGAGAATGACGTATTTAAGTTAATGAACCCAGGGGGTATATTTTTAACTTCACTCTCATATATATGACTTTCTGGAGCAAACGTCGCATTTTGGGCGCGTGACAGACACTTGCCGTTAAGTCGTAACGGAAAGGATGTTTCCTGCAACGTTTTACAAACCACGAGTAGATTTTTTTAAGTTTTAGGACTAAAGGGGGTTTTTAGCAGATTCGGTAAACACAAGGGGATTTTTTGCTGTTTTGCCATGTATACACATATATTAATATATATTTCACTTTATCTCATCACATCACTTATATTTTTTAAAAAAATTATTTCTCTCTCCAATCACATCACTTAATATCCAAATTATCTCAACTTATGATACTAATACTCCTCACCTAAATTCTCGTGTTAAACATAAATGTTGAACAATATTTAGGACAAAGCGAGTACTTTTTTTCGTCTAATTCATAAAATATATATTTTTTATTTTAAATTATTTAATTACAAAAATAATTATTTAAAAAATATTTTTTTATATACAAATATTTTTATTTTACTTTTTTATCATTATTTTTATATAAAAAAATCAAAAAAATATATTTTTATATTATTTTTAACTATCAATTATAATTAAAATCAGTAAATATTTACTTGTAAATTGAATCGAACTAAGTATATTTAAGTTTAATAGAACTTGATCATACACTAAATTTACCTTTTTAATGGGATGAGATCTCCTGCAAAAAAAAAAAAAAAAGAAAAAAAAAAGAAAAAAGCAAAAACCCTCCCCTCCCAGTATATCTTTACACACCTGTGCATGGTATATTAGAAGAGAGAGGTGCTATTATAAATTTTATTGGATTATTATTATTAAATATGTAACGTTTTAATATGATAATCAAAATATTTTATACGATTAATTTAATATTTTAAATATTAGAATTTATTTGTTCCTTAGTATTTATTTGTCTTTTGCAAAAGGTATATTAATATTATATTGACATGCAGTAAAAATAAAATAAAAATAATAAAAATAATGTTATTAGTATTGTATGTAACATTACAGTCGACTCAATCAAAATATTACTGTCATATCGAACTAAGGGGTCGATTTTACCGAGTCGGCCCGCCTAATTGCGATACTAAAGTTTATATAATAGTGTAAATTTATATCCATCATGCATAAACTATGTTTGTTTGGGGGTTTGGATTTTGAGTTGAAATTTGAATAGTAAAAATTTTGAATTTGAATAATTGTATGATGTGATATAAATAGGTGTTGATGTGATGTTTTGAATGTAAAATTAATTTTTAGTATAATTTAAAAAATAAAAAATAAATGTTTGATTTGAAATTTTTGGAGAAAAAAATGGGATGAATAGTGAATTTAAAATTCAATCCTCAAACAAACACACCTTTTTCTTTGTACAATAGTAGAAAAATAGAATGTGTTTTTATAAATATAAGTAATTCTTTAATATTGAGTTAAAAATTACTTGTAATTGGAGAAATGTTTTTGCTACTTTCTAGTTCTCGATGTAGTTATAAAAAAGCATTGT